TGACTTTGACAAAATAACTTATTAATCGCCGCCAACAAACACTGTACAACTACTGTGGACCTTGGCTGTATTTATATGTCTCTTACTGATCTAGGACTTCTAGAATTGGAAGGTCAACCACAAAAGTTAGTGGTTCTCCATATCTTTTGCCAAGGGGCCAGGTGGTTTTTAGTCACGTGGAGAACTAGAACATTCCGGAGCGTTCGGAATCGGTGCGGTAATCGTTACTAAGCGATTAATCGCAAAATGGTGCATTTTCTAGGCAAGTCTTATTCCTTCCGGTCACTTCTCCTGAGAGGTCGTCCGAGGTATACGAGGATAACCCAGGGTTAACTTGCACTATTCAGGAAGGTGTTCTCTGCCTGTCGGTCTATCACCTTGTCAGAAGGGTCCGAGAACTTTGTTTCGAAGTCCTTGTTCTGGTTGCTTTGCTCGACTGTGCGCTGTCGTCAACTGCCACCTTAGGCAAGTTGAAGCTTTCCACCAGTAAATCGCACGGAATATTACTATGCCATGCTTGTTCTGGATGGCACAATGTTGGCCGTAGCTGGGTTGCATGCAGTGGCCAGATCTATGCTCCCACCATCGAGTCATACATGATGTTTCCGCGCTTGCTTTTGACCGTCCCTGGCGTCATTTCGTATGGCATTCCCGATAGTCACGTACCAACACCTTTTGTTCAAGCGTAAAAGATCGCTTCTTTGCTCCATGCCCCCGGTTAAAATCTTGTACCATTCTGCGGTTTTTCATCAACGGTGACCTCCGAGTGCGTTCGGATGGCGTCGAAAGGAATGCAAAGCTTCCGGTTCATCATGACCGGTGCTGGTGAAACTACTTCTAGCGTTGTGGATTTGGTGTTGATCGGTAAAGGAAAAGGAACCGGTCAACCACTTCCTCTACAGTCCTACCCATTTTGATTTGTAGAGAGCTCGCTTGAACGTATCGACAAACCTTTCTGCCTGGCCATTCGACTGTGAGTGAAATGGCGGCAAACGAACGTGCTGGACGGCGCATTGCTTGCAAATCTCCATAAACGTTGCTGAAGTAAATTGTGAGTCATTGTCGACTAGAGTTGTCTCAAGACAGCCGAATTTGCTAAAGGTTTGGAGCAGTTTTGTTACAGTGACATTGGTGGTCGTGCTATCCATAAGAAATACTTCAGGCCACCTGCTGTATGACTCCATTATAATGAAGAAACTTCTGCCGTTGATCGCCCCTGCAAAGTCGACATGGATGCGGCGCCATGGCTTAGTAACTTTTGGCCATGAATAGGGTTCTGATTTTTGTGGCGCTTTCAAGACATTGGCACAATTTTGGCAGCTTTTGGCTATTTCTTCTAGCTGTTCGTCCATGAAGAGCCAGTATATAACTGCGGGCAAGCGTTTTCATCCGGTTGATCCCAGGATGATCGACGTGGAACTGTCGAATAAGGCGCTTCTGAACTGCCTTGGGGATGACCACTCTTCCCGAAAATAGCATGCAGTCGCTCACGATAGAGTGCGTGTCTCATCTGGAAGTACTGTTGTTACTCGACAGATGGACATGAACGTGGCCAACTTGTTTTAAGAAAATTATAGCCTTCTTGAGTATTGTGTCCCGAAGTGTTTCGGTTAGTACAGCTTCAGCGGTAACTGGTAGACCGTGCAATGCGCCAGTTACCAGAAAGTTGACGTCAGGCTCAATCTCGACCGAGATAATGCTGGTGTCCTCATGTTCTTGCTGGTGGGCATCAAGTAGGCGTGACAGTGCATCCGCTTGGCCAATGAAAACTGTCGACTGTTATTGGAGTTCGGAACCATACACCATAAAAGTAAGAGCGCAACGTTGTAGCTGGTTGGCTGTGTAGGCCGGGCCGTCCTTTTTCGAACCAAAGATAGCCAGCAAAGTCTTGTGATCTGTCAGAAGCTTGAAGCGGCGGCCATACAGCATTTTGTGGAATTTCTTGACCGCGTACACTATGGCCAATACTTCTTTCTCAATCTGGCTGTAATCCCTCTCGGCCTTCGTAAGTGTTCTGGCAGCATGGGCGATTGCTTGCTGAGATCCATCGGTGTACTTGTGTGCAATTACTGTACCAATCCCATGGCTTGATACATAAGTGGTTAGGACAGCCTCTTTGGAGGGATCATAATGCGTCAAAAGCAAGTTTGAGCACCGCAGTGTCTTGACCCGTTCAAAGGCAGGCTGCCATTCTGATGTGCAGTGCCAAGTTTGGCCTTTGGCTAGTAGCTTGTTTAACGGGATATGCGGGCGGTGAATCTCAGGCAAGGATGCGCTGTAGTGGCTGATGAGCCCACAAAAGGAACGAAAGGACTGTAGACCTGTTGGTGGAGACATTTTTCTGATGGCTTCTACGTTTTCCGAATCTGGTCGACGTCCATCCTTTTCCAGGATAAAACCGAGGTATTTGATGATCGACATGCAAAAAATGTATGTATCTTCACGGATCCGGAAACCGTACCACTGTATACAACCAAACACTTCATCCAGGCGGTTAAATAGCTCTTCCGGTGTTCGACCCATCATTTTGGTATCATGCAGATATGCAGGGTTACCGGAAACGCCCGCTAGTATGATATTCATCCACGGTTGTAAAATGGCTGGCGCGTTTTTACACCAAATGAAAAATGGTTGTATTGGAGTAGCCCACGATGAGTGTTGATTGTCAACAACTCCCTCGATCCTTCGTCAACATCCACTTAAAAATAAGCTCTAGATAGAGCAAGTTTAGCAAAGCGCTTACCACCATCCAGCTTTGCAAATATATCTTCCGGTACAGGTAATGGGTACTGGTGGTCGTCCAGCGCGGCGTTGAGGCCAGTTGAGAAGTCAGCGCAGACGCGCACCTTGCCATTTGCTTTCTTCACTGCGACAATAGTTGCGGGCCATGATGAGTAGTTGACGGCTGCGATGATACCGGCACGTTCCATTCGATCGAGCTCTTGCTCAACGATTGACATGACTGCATATAATACCGGTCTTTGGCCTTGAACACTGGTTTAGAACCTGCTCGCAAGCTCAGCGTTGCCTTGAATTACATACAATGACTCAAGTCATCCTGAAAGATAGAGGCAAATTTTCGCTTCAGGGTACGTGTCATGTCTTCGGCAGACTTTGATGATGGGTCTGAGCACGTAACGCAGATTTCGAGACGGCCCACGGCCGCATCCTACCACATTTGCAAATTTATGAAAGTACCCTTCGTCTAATTGGGACATGAACAAATGGAGCTTTCTAGTGTCTTTCCATCTAGTATGCGTCGCCGATCCACGCTTGAATTCGGTAGTATAATTGGCCAATTAAATGAGCCAAACCAGCAAATGCAAAACACCTCGTGGTCAAGCAACCAATACCCACGCGCTCCGCGCTAGAAGTCCTCGCTGCACCGGCCACATGTAGTTTGAAGGGGACGAGTAAAAGTATACTCTAGCCTTAAAATGTGGCGTATTAGAAGTTTGACGAGGGGCTTTATAGGGGCAATAGAAAAGCAAAATGACCTAATAGCCCTAAGCTTCTCTATTATAATACAAGAACAAACTATTAAGTATCAATGCTAAGGGTTCAGTTTCGCCTACTGACCTAAAAAACAGGAGGTTGACAAGGTTACTCATTGTGCCCATGGATCTTGCGCCGTCTTTTTCCTGTCTTCTTCCCTTAACCTACTTCAAGTCCAAGCTAAACTAGTACCGGTACAGTAAACAAAGCCTGTGATTGTTCCACCTTGTACCACGTCACTGAGTCTAGAGTAGCAGTTGCGGTGATCTGCAAGCAGGATACAAATTAACTTGCAAGATATCATCTACGGCGAAGCAAACAATGTGCAGGTGCCTCTTACTAGCAGTCCCCGCTTTGCCGGCCATGAGAAGTGAAGTAAATATGGGAGAAAACAAGCTAAGGCAATGGATACAGCAATTTTGGAATGCAAATGGCTAATTAAAAAGGAGCAAGAGTAAAGAAATACGAGCAAACCTAAGCTGAGAAAGGAAAGAGCTTTAAGTTATGACCGAGTGCGTCCAGCTGAACAAACTCGTTCACCGTTGATATTATAAGTATTCTTGCTGTCAGAGCATTCCAATAGTCTATAACTTGGAGTAAAAGCCAACAATCGGTTCCAACCCGGTCCGAGCAGCGTTGGTGAAACTTCAATGGATGTACATGAGGCCTAGGCACCCGAATCGGATGGAACAGTCCGGATAAATCTGGGCCGACCTGACCTGTCATTATGCGATAGGTGAGAAACATGTCACCCCGGAAAACATCTGTAGCTCAACGAACTCATGTCCAGCTTGATTAGCCTTTCTGAGTAAGCAAGCATATTTAATTGAAACATCATTTTCCTCCCTGGCAATAAGACCTGTTCAACTGTAATCTTGTCCTGAACTAGGCACATAATTGCAAATTCCTGTTACCTTTTTTAGTTCGCATCATACCTTGGTATGAATATTGTTACCATTCCATCTCACGTATTCTGAGCGTACCATATACACCTGCTTCACACAATCCGTGCTGCAGGGACTACTGAGCGGAACTTTCACTAACCGCGTAACAGGTAGTTGGAGTTTAATTTTTCTGCACTAGTGACATGTAATACTATGGAAGCCTTTAAAAGTGGCCTAGAGATGAATTGGTTCAATCTGTTTCCGGATTTCCATTGAGGTTAGTGGATTCCAATTAATAACAACTGGATGTCACCAATGGTTTCATGCAGATATGAGTTCTTCTTACCATGTTTGGTCTTTTCAAAAGTGTAGCTTGAACGTCGAAGTGCTGGGACATTAGCTTGCTTACCGGCACACGAAACGGGACGCTCGTTAGGCGAAGTCCTATTTCGTCCCGGAATTCCTGACCTGACCTGACCATCAAATGTGGGCAGTAATTATTTGTCAGTGTGATAGCGTTTTACTAAAGCTTAGCAAACCTCAACCTGGCATATCAAATACCGATTCAACGGTGTATAGCAGTAGGAGCACAAGAGAAGTTGAACTTGTATTTGACCCTAACTTTGACCTTGAGCTTGACCTCGAGCCACTAAGACTGTCCTGAAGGCAATTTGCTACGAGATGTATGCCGAACGCCTCCGGCAGCTCGAAGGTACCCTTTCTTATCCAACAGAGCACGCGAAATCGAGTGTACCCGGTGATACTACTACTGAGGAGGAGCATGATAACTCTGCTGTGGAAGACACTGGAGTTTCAAGTGGTAGGTTGTTGACTTAACACTTATGATCTGTAGCCCTAACCTACGAATTCGCTGGTTTAGGAATAGGCTTCGCAAGGTACGCAATTTTTTCTACATTATCATACGCATAGTATGCTTGCTGATACTCTTTTATCCCATCCGTTCATTGTTATTCGCGGCCAATGTCAAGTTGGTTTGTTTTGCTTGCTCCTTAATGTTTTGCAGGTAATGACTACCGGCTCATACATTCACATTTCTCCTTTCTCCCTTGTTCCGATTGTGAGTAAATGTGTTAAAAGTCAAGTAACGTCACAATAGATGTCGCTTTATTCCTCGTCTTCTAGGGACCCGCATTCCTTTGGAAGGGTCTAAGCAGCGTATTCGTCGTCCGAGGTTTATGCCTTCTAAGCGACAATGTCATCAGTGAGCTGACTTCGTTACCGCGGTAAGTGGTGTCGGTTCTTCTAGCCTCTTGCAGGGAAGTATCAAAGCTGAGTTCTTTGCGACGCCTGGGAGCCCATGTTCTCTTACGGACGTAGGTTCAACCTTAATTCAACCATCAGTATTCTTAGGTTGTCTTGGGTTCTGGTTGCACCTTTTTATGCTGCAAGTATCGTTGAAATTGTGCAGGTAAGTCATAACTTTTCTCTCATTTTTTGCTCGTGCATTTTCCCGATTGCCATCCTTTTGTTCATGGCCGTCACGTAATGCATTGCCTCGGATACACTTAATTAGATCTAACACTCGCTAGTTCGAGTCACCCGCATTACGTCGGCATTATGCCGGGACATCATACCAATGCTTCGCTGTCACACGACCACCACCGGTCGCCCATGAGCTGGGTTGTCTGCAACGTAGCCCTCACCTACGAAGACTCGAACTGGTGACCTTCCGATTATACGGTTCACTAACTTCAGCAATCTGTTGAGGCGATGGTGAACCTGTAAGCGCCTATGCGCCATTGATTACGTAGTTACTGGTATATGTGTACGCTAGCAGCACGAGACTGGTAGAATAAGATGTTCACACTGCTTGACGAGTGCAACAGCTATACAAGGGATCCAGCCGGGGTGCTTTGTGTGTATGGTACTCACGGTTTATACGAATGATCTAAACATACAGTCTAACATTCCGCATCAACAGACTAGGATAATCTTGGTTACGCTTTTGTACGATGACATTAAGCAAATTTGCGGTACCCAATTTCCTGCAGTAACAGTGCTCTGGTGTTATTCAGGGTTGTTGTACGCTTGTTACTTTAATGTCGATGCAGCTTACACGGATTTTCTTAGTGTTCTTACTTGTAGCTAAGACATACACTAGCTGTTGGATGACCAGACTACAAAACGATGTTTAAAAGATTGCTCTTGGTCGCACTCCCAACCATTTCATGATCATTTTTGTGGGCTTCCTGGTACACCTTACAGCTTAGCCCATTTGTTCCTGCGATACCAACAGTCCTATTTCCTCTCTACTCGCTGGGTCCGTTTGATAGATTCCTTCGTTTTGGGAGCTGAATTACTGTTGATAGCATAATAGATGTGATCTTCACATTTCGATCGGCTGAGTAAGTTATTTATCTCCAACAATTACGTGCCTGCTGTCGTCTTCTGGTCCAGCCTCCCGTTTAAATCGAGGAATTTAAGGTATAGGTAGAATGACTTTGGCTATCATGCAGTGGTTGAAAACTGCAATGAAGCTGCTTCTTCACCACACATTGCTCAGCAGTTTTCAATCGTAAATCGGCAAATCTTGGGCTCCTTGTATTGTTTCCTATCGTCACTAAGGATTTTCATTAAGACCCCTTCTGCCCTAATTATTATCATTATTCCTTATAGGTGTCGTAATTATGGTCGCATGGCAGGGAAGCGTCAGTGGGAATTTCTGCTGTGCTACTGCTAAGGAGAGTGATTACTTTGTAGGTCGCGAACTAGCCTTCGGATTCCAGCGCATTCCGAAGGATCTATGGCTCCCGTGACAAGTTTAATATTTCTGCGTTCATTGAGTTCATTGGGTTATAGAAAGCAGGAGGGAAATCCGATGTCAGCCCCATCGATTCCGTATCATACTGAATTTGACGCGTGTCTTTGCATTACTACGTTCCTCGAGGGTTCATCGCAATTGTAGTGACAGACGCAAAATTCCAGCATTTTCAGCGAATGTTTGTCTGTCAGCCACTTAAAACTTTCCTCGGATGGAGCGTCTGCAATTTCTTCCGGTAGGCTGTTCCATTATCATCATTATACACGTCAGCTAGAGGTGGGAAACACCTCAGCTACTGTGCCGCAATACATAAAGGAAAAAAGGAAAATAACTACAAAAGTTGCATGCCAGCTGAGCTACCAGCAACGGATGGGCATCGCTCCGGTAAGCTACCAGCCGGCTACTAGGCAAAAAGAAAAATTATCGTTTTACGCTACGAGATGAAATCGTAGGTGGAGGGGAGGCTAAAAGGGATAGGGAGGGAAAAGAAACTTACATCAGGAACGCCACTGAGGTCGGCTGCTTGCCATGTCAGCAAGTGTATCCAGACAAACGTGTTCACCGTCTTTTGTACCCCAACCAGGGAGTTGAGACCCTCCAACCGAGGCCAGCTCAGAAGTGAAGGCCTTCATTCCTTTGGACCAAATCATCGCTTGGCCACCCCTCCTCTTCTTCCATCCACATTCCCGGTGAGCAAACAACGCACGTCGTCGAAGTTGATGGGCTGGCATGCGCAACTCGTGGCCCAGCCATCGGAGCTTGGTGTATGAAATGACGGTGCTGAGCGGTCAGTTCCTTTTCCTGTGCCGTAAACAAGGCGTCGAACACGCTCGTTACTCACGCGGTGTTCTTACCAGATGTGAGCCAAACTGCGAAGGCACCGATGGTCGAACTTAACTTGCCTCTTCATGTCGGCCGATCTTAGGGGCCAGGTTTCGCAACCGTACAGTAAGGTCGAATGTACCGCTGCATTGTACACTCTACCCTTCAGGGCGAGAGTAATGTCGCGCCGCCGCCATAGGTGGCGAAGGTTAGCAAAAGCATTTCGAGCTTTTGCTATCCGGTTCATGATCTCGTCTTCGATCCCAAGGGCACTGATACAACTTCCCAGGTAGTTGAATTTCCGAACGACTTCTAGCTGATCCCCACCAAGGGTCAGCGCAGGAGGCGATCCCTGTCAATCTTGGAGGAACGGTTTGCATTTCGATAGTGCAAAGCAAAGCCCGAAGCGGCTGACAGCCAGTGATAATCTGTCCAACGCGGCTTGGCGCGTCTGGAAGCTGTCACAAATGAGGGCAATGTCGTCTGCATACTCCAAGTCAAGAAGTCGTTCTCCTGGGAGTAACTCCACACCTTCCAAGTTATGTCCTGTAAATGCACTCTTCATAATTTCCCATTTATTAGAACGAATCAAGGGAGACAGAATCTGAGTAAAGAATTCTTTTCGGTAATTCTCATTGGACTCAAATATTACATGATGAGGACAAAGTGCTAAATATGCCGGATTGGGCTGCGTATTGAACAGAATGTTTAATTTCACGGGTACAAATCAATAAATCACGGGGTCATTGTAGGTGGCAAATATGTACAAGGGAAATCACCTCCGAAGTTGTAGGCCACGGTAGAAGTAAAGGACGTACAGACTGTTTTTGTACGCATAATTCTGGCTTTAGATGGCGGATGTAGATAGCTTCCGCAATAGACAGAAGATGCATCCGGAATCCGCGCGTGAAACGTTCAGGAACAGTATAGATGACTCTAAAATCATTTTCCGTTCCTGCGTGACTGCACTCTAGAAGGTGAGATAGGATAGAACTGTTACTCGACCTCGCTTCGCCTTTTGTAAAGCCATTTTGGGATGTGTTCGCGAATCCTATGAGATAGGCGTCTCCTGGTACGACCCACGTATCGTGCCCCACAGGAGCACGAGTAAAGATAAACAAGCATTGATCGGGTCACCGGAGGCAGCCTGTCTTTCAAAGGTTTTGCGGATAAAGGCTTGTAAAATACTATGCCTAGACGAGCCGCGAAATAGGTCTTTTCAACAGCGGCTCGCCTAGGCATAGTATTTTACAACAAGCCTTTATTCGCAAAACCTTTGAAAGACAGGTTGCCTCCGTTGACCCGATCAATGCTTGTTTATCTTTACTCGTGCTCCTGTGGGGCACGATACGTAGGTCGTACCACGAGGCGCCTATCTCATAGGATTCGCGAACACATCCCAAAGTGGTTTTACAAAAGCGAAGCGAGGTCCAGTAACAGTTCCATCTTGTCTCACCTTCTAGAGTGCAGTCACGCAGGAACGGAAGATGATTTTAGAGTCATCTGTACTGTTCCTGAACGTTTCACGCGCGGATTCCGGATGCATCTTCTGTCTATCGCGGAAGCTATCTACATCCGCCACTTCAAACCAGAATTGTGCGCACAAAAACAGTTTGTACGTCCTTTACTTCTACCGTGGCCTACAACTTCGGATGTGATTCCCCTGTACAAATTTGCACTTTCCATGACCCCGTGATTTATTGATTTGTACCCGTGAAATTACACATTCTGTTCAATACGCAGCCCAATCCGGCATATTTAGCACTTTGTCCTCATCATGTAATGTTTGAGTCCGATGAGAATTACCGAAAAGAATTCTTTACTCAGATTCTGCCTCCCTTGATTTGTTCTAATAAATGGGAATTTTTGGATTGCTGAGGATCAGCATTCCCCGTGATTCTTCAACACTTCGTCGATAGCGAAGTTAAAAAGGAAATGTGACAACGGGCATCCTTGTCTCACACCGCTGGCGACAGCTTGCCGTAAGCCCTCACTCTGCCCGTGCTACGCGCGCATAATGATTGGATAATATTTACTTATTTCTCGGGCGCACCTTTCCTGAGTAGACAATTCCAAAGGGCACATCGATCAACCGAATCGAAGGCACCTTTGATGTCGAGGAACACGACTACCGTTGGCCGCCAATATGTGTGACGGTGCTCCAACAACTGACGCAATATGAAAATGTGGTCGATGCAACCACGACCCCGATGAAAGCCGGCTTGCTCCTCACGAATGTGGCTTTCACGAGCGTCAGTCAGTCTGTGAAAGATTATGGAGGCGATGGAGATCAGACTGATTCCTCTATGGTTGCCGCATTCCGAACGCAAGCCTCCTTTGAAGATGGGAACAATAACGGAGCGGCTCCAGTCGGTTGGGACAGTCCTGCTCCCACAGTTTCACTAGTAATTCATGTAAAACATCAACAAAAGCAGAGCCTCCGAATTTGAAGAGTACTGATGGATGATCATCTGGTCCCGCGGCTTTGTTCAACTTCAACAGTCTGATCTCACGTTCGACTTCTGAGCGAGAGGGTGGATCCAAAGGGACAGCCCACGGAGCAAGGCGATAACTGGCCGACGAAGTATCGAACAATTCTGGCCGATTAAATTGCTTTTCAAAATGCTCAGCCCAACGCTCCAAACGTTTTGAAAAATTGTGGATAGGCTGTCCACTCTCGTCACGTATAGTTTCGCTAACACCAGGTCTCCTGTTGCCCGTTTTCCGTATCAGACGGAATAACTTACGATGATTGCCAAGGGCAGCAGCCACTTCTATCTCTGACGCACGGTGAGACCACCAACATCCTCGGTCTCTCTTCAGGCTAGCACGAAGGCTTGCCCGGAGCTCTTTGCGAGTTTCATTGTGTTCGCTTCCAGCCGGGATATGCCGGGGGCATCGACAAGTTCTAGAGACTGCGAAGAGACCCAATAACCATGTTGGCTATTAGACACCACATGAGCATTTGCCTGCTGCTAGTAAGGTCTGGTGAACATATGACTAATGACCATCAATTGTCTCCAGTGAGCGCTTACTCAACTCGCATGTCAGCGTACTTCGATACGCATTCAGAACAGCTGGCTTTGTCAGTTGGCTGGTGTCAATGCGCTCACAGCGTCGTCGTGAGCGTCCGCCAAAACGCATATGCATGTCAGCACATACAAGTGCATGATCGTTGTCCACACATGTGCTCCAAATCGAGCGACAGTTCTGGACGCAGCCACTCCATCGGTAACTTATCGCAATGTGATCGATTTGCGTCCATAGCTGCTTCGAGGCCGGTGCGCGCCAAGTCATCCTCCAGCGGGTGCTGTGTCGGAAGTTAGTGCTCGCAAGAAATAAGCGGGCATCTTCACACAAATGAAGTAACCGCTCACCGTTATTATTACGGGAGCCTACACCGTGCTGACCGCCCAAATGCATTTCATCAGTGGACAACTTTCCAACTTGCACGTTCAGATCCCCAGCCAGCAGAACAGTGTCCGTGGCTTCTTCTGTGGTGAAGAACCTGGGTCAGTTGGCGGTAGAAGTCGTTCTTTACCGAATCATCGCTACAGTTTGTGGGTGCGTAGGCAGCGATGATGAATAGACATCTATTAGTCCCGCGCGATTTCGAAGCTTTGAACGAGCCAGCCAATCGGACCGCACACATTCGGCTACTGATTGGAATCCAATCAACCAGAGCAGCTTCAGCCCGGGGACTCAGCGCAATGCCAACACCAACTTGGTCGGTGCTCGAAGCTGCATCGTCACCGGATAGGCACAATGAGAAAACACTGCTTGCGTCACCTGAAGGGGATCGCAGACTGAGCACAGAGCTCGAGTCTTGCAGGCGGGTCTCTGATAAGCAGCATATGTCGATCGAGAGGGTCTCTAATGTTCGGGCAAGTGCTGCCTGTTGACCGAACTGTAGTAATGTGCGCAAATTGAGGCATGCCAAACTGAAGGAGGATCGAGGGTTCCAAATGGAAGTCGATGAACTGGAATGGACCGCTTGGTTGGACATGGGCTTGTCGACAGGAGAGGAGTGACTCTCCGCGTTCACATGTGAGTTGAAATTAGAATATAAAAACCTAGCAAAGCATGATGGGGGAGGGCCAAGAATCAGGGGGTTGAAGACCGGGGGGATAAAAGTGAAGTCGGAACGGGACGGTAAGAGTGAAAAAGCGTAAGAGGGGAGTAAGAAGACGGGAAGGCTTGGGCAGTAGCATCCAAACCCCTATCCACCCTGCTCGATGCAGCAGATAGGGCACCGTTGATTATCCTCTGCGGTGGCCAGAGCATCTAGAAGTTGTTTGAGGAAAGATTCATTGTATTGCGTGGGCAGGATACTGTCAGGTTGCCCAGGCCTAGACAGGAGAACGATTAGGGTTCTCAACCAAAGCCTTTGGTTCAAAAACCTGACCGCAAGGCAACGGGTTTGGCGTTGGGCTACAAGGAGTCCGTTTTAAGGAATAAGGAGCCACCCTCATTCCAACTCGCAACCT